AGTTTTCTTTCATTGTAGTGTCTTTTTCTGGTTTTGGAATTAGAATTATGCTGGCCTCATAAAACGAGTTTGGAAGTCTTCCTTCTTATTGAATTTTTTGAAATAGTTTGAGGAGAATGGGTATTAGTTCTTTGAATGTTCGGTAAAATTCCCCTGTAAAGCCGTCTGGGCCTGGGCTTTTGTTTGCTGGAAGAGTCTTGGTTACATCTTCAGTTTCTTCTGTTGTTATTGGTCTGTTCAAGTTTTCTATCTCTTCCCGGTTCACTTTTGGGAGACTATGTGTTTCTAGGAGGTTGTCCATTTCACTTAGATTGTCGAATTTGTTGCCGTATAATTGTTCATAATATTTGTTAACGATCCTTTGTATTTCTGTGGTGTCAGTTATTATTTCTCCTCTTTCATTTCTGATTTTGTGTATTTGGATTTTCTCTGTTTCTTGGTGAGTCTAGCTAAGGGTCCATCAATCCTGATTATCTTTTCAAAGAACCAGCTCTTTCTTTCATTGATCCTTTGAATTGTTTTTTTTTTGGTCTCCATGTCGTTTATTTCTGCTCTGATCTTTACTATTTCCTTCCTTCTACTTACTCTGGGGTTATCTTTTTGTTTGCTTTCTAGTTCTTTAAGTTGTGAGGTTAGATAGTCTATTAGAAATTTTTCTTATTTCTTGAGGTAGGCCTGTAGCACTTTGAACTTCCCTCTCAGAACTGCTTTTGCTGCATCCCATAGATTTTGTGTTGTTGTGTCTTCATTTTCATTGGTATCCAGGAAGTTTTTAATTTCTTCCTTGGTCTCGATGGTAACCCGTTCATTGTTCAATAACATGCTATTTAGCCTCCATGTTTTCAAATGTCTTTGCATGTTCTTGTTGCAATTGATTTGTCGTTGCATGCCATTGTGATCTGAGAAGATGCTTGATATGATTTCAATCTTCTTGAACTTGTAGAGACTTAGTTTGTGCCCTAACATGTGGTCTATCTTTGAGAATGTCCGATGTGCACTTGAGAAGAATGTGAATTCTGCGGTTTTGGGGTGTAATTCTCTGTAGATATATATGATATCCATTTGATCTAGCGCTTCATTTAGAGTCTGTTTTCTTGTTAATTTATTGTCTAGAAGATCTATCCAGTGATGTCAGCTGGGTATTGAAGTCCCCTGCTATGATTGTATTGCTGTCGATTTCTCCTTTGAAGTCCTCCAAAAGATTTTTAATATGTTTTGATGCTCCTAAATTGGGTGCATATATGTTTATCAAGGTTATATCTTCCTGTTGGATAGATCCTTTCAATATTATGTAGTGGCCTTCTTTTCTCTAGTTATGGCCTTCATTTTGAAATCTACTTTATCAGATATGAGTATTGCTACCCCATCTTTTTTTTTGCTTTCCGTTTGCTTGAAAGATTTTTTTTCCCATCCCTTCACTTTCAACCTATGTGAGTCTTTTGTTGTGAGGTGAGTCTCTTGTAAACAACATATACGTGAGTCATGCTTTCTTATCCAGTCAGCTACTCTGTCTTTTTTTTTTAAAGGGCAGAATTAATATTTTATTGTCATTTATAATCAGATGGCAGTTGAGTATATAGTCTCTATACTCGATCTTCTTTTTTTGTAAATAAAAAAAATTACAAGAGCTGATGGCTGGTTGTGTTTTCAGAAAACATAATTAAACTAATTCATTGATGGTGGCTTCAAGTTTTTGCGTATTAGCTCCCGAAAATTTACCCACCTTCTCTCCTTTTTTAAAAAACTGGAAGCTTGGCATGCATTTGACTTCACACTCTTTAGCAACATCCTGACAGTCATCCACAATTACTTCAAGGAACACCACGTTGGAATACTTTTCAGAGAGGGAATGAAAAAAGACTTGATCATTTTGCAAGGCCCACACCACATGGCTAAGAAGTCAATGACTACAAGTTTATCTCCTGCACTGTTCAGGGCTTCCTGGAAAGCATATTTGCTGTCGATCTGCTTCACCATTTTGGCGGCTGAGGTCTGACCAACGACCTTAAGAGCCGATGGAAGTAGATGCAAAGAGGCAAAGGGAGTTTCTGCTCTGTGTCATTTATCGGAGCATTCAAACCATTCACATTTAAGGTGATAATTGATATGTACTTATTTATTGCCATTTTTTTTTTAGTGTGGTTATATTTTTCTTCCTATTTCTTCAAATTACAGCAGTCCTTTTAGCATATCTTGCAGTGCTGGTATGGTGTTTATATATTCCCTTAGCCTTTTTTTGTCTGGAAAGCTCTTTATTTGACCTTCTATTTTGAATGATGGCCTTGCTGGATAGAGTAGTCTTGGATTCAGATCCTTGTTTTTCATGACCTTGATCACTTCATGTCACTCCCTTCTGGCCTGTAGTGTTTCTGTTGAGAAGTCAGCTGAGAGCCTTATGGGGGTTCCTTTGTAGCTAACCTGTGCTTATCTCTTGCTGCCTTTAGGATTCTCTCTTTGTCTTTAATTTTTGGCATTTTAATTACTATGTGTCTTGGTGTGGGCCTGTTTGGGTTCTTCTTACTTGGGGCTCTCTGTGTATCTTGAACTTGAATGCCTTCTTCCTTCACCAAGTTAGGAAAGTTTTCTGTCGCTATTTCTTCAAATATATTCTTTAACTCTTGCCCATTTTCTTCCTCTTCGGGTACTCCTATGATGCGAATGTTATTACGTTTCCAGTTGTCCCACAGTTCTCTTAAGCTGTCTTCTTGTTTTTTAATTGTTTTTTCCATTTGGTTTTCTGATTGGTTGATTTTTTTTCTACCCTGTCTTCTAATTCACTGATCCGGTCCTCAGCTTCCTCTACTCTGCTGGTTTGTCCTTCCAATATGTTCTTAATTTCTGCTATGTCATTCTTCATTTCCACTTGGTTGGTTTTCAATGTTTCTATATCTTTACTCATGGTGCTGATGTCCTTACTCATGCTGTTGAGCTTCCTCAAGATCATGGCTCTGAACTCTACCTCTGATAATTTGCTTAGCTGCATTTCATTGATCTCATCTTCGATAGAGTTCTCTTGGTCTTTCATTTGGGATTTGTTTCTTTGTTTCACCATTTTGGCTGTCTCAGTCGGTTTTGGAGCCTGTCAAATTTTCCCTGTGGGTGTTGGTGTTCTGCTGTTTTTGGCTCCCTCTACTGGGTTTGGATGAGCCTGTGTGGGTCCACGTTAAACACCATTGTCAAGTCTTACTTTCCTGGGTAGATTTGCAAGCCCAGGAAGGGTTCAGTTATCCTCTAGCTTTTTCCTGGTGGCTAGTAGTCTCAGTTACTCAGTGCCTTGGAATGTAGCCATCATGTTCTGCAGAAGAGGATTTCCAGAGGGTGGGATAGATGCTGGTTATTTAATGAGCCTCAATTTGCATTTCTTTGCCTCAACTGGGGAAGGCTAATCTCCGAGCAGGGATGGCGGGGGCGGCGCTGCTGCTTTTCCCCACAGTTCTGTGAAGGAGCACACTGTCCACCGTCCTTTGTGGCTGCAACTCAGCAAAAACTCTGAGTGCCCTCCAAATCCTGGGTGTCCCCACAGAGTTCCAGCCCAGTCTGCCCTCCCTCTGCCGTAGCCCCCCGGTGAGTGGCTGTGGCTATTTTGGCGCTCTGTCCTGGCTCTCTGGGCTGTGGAGTGGGCTTGGTCTCAATTCCCCAAAAGTGCTGCTCACAGCTAAGACTGCTGCTGTCTGTGGGCTCCCAGCCCACATAGGGCTAATTTTTAAGTACAAAATCGTTGGAGGCAGCAATCAACCTTCAGAGTTAGAATCCTCATGATATAAAACCTCATTTACATAATTGTGGGTACCTGTGAAGTTCAACTTCGGGAGACTTTAGACTTCTCTTCGGCTGCTTTGAGTTTGAGGATGACAGATTTTAGTGGTCCCAAGAAGTGTTACTGCATGAAAACCTTTCGCCTGGGAACGGCCAGGCACGTGTCCTTCACTGAGGCTCTGGAAATGGGTCTATATTCTAGTGTTCACACCACCCTCTCCCCTCCTCCTTCTATTGCCTCTTTTCTAATTGGATTTGCCTTTTCTCTGCTTTCATTCAAATATTTTTGGAACACCTACTCTGTGCTGGGCATGTACTGATACTGAGATGTGAATTGAGAAGAAAGACCCAGCCACTATCCTCACTGGATTAAGTCTAGACTGGAGGCCCCAGACCTCCTTCATTATATACACGTCAGTAAAAAAAAAAAAAAAAAAAAAATGAGTACTTTTTACTAATATGTAAAGTATGTTGTAAAACACACAAAAACTGGAAATTAAATAGACTGTTCTCAGTGCCTGGGTAGTGTTCTCAGCCCTGCTTGGAAGACACTACCATGTTAGAGTTGACACAGAAGGGGACAGAGAAAACAGCGAGGGCTGTAACCTAAAATTATTAAAAGACAAAGAAATGTGTGATTAAAAGCAGTTTTGAAGTTTGATCGTTTTTTTTTTCTTTATTGATTTTTTAGAGAAAGAGGAAGGGATAGAGAGATGGAAACATCAACATGAGAGAGAGACATCAATTGGCTGCCTCCTACACACCCCCACTGGGGATGGAACCTGCAACCTGGGCATGTGCCCTGACTGGTAATTGAACCGGGGCCTCTCAGTCCATGGGAAGACGCTCAGTCCACTGAGCCACACCAGCCGGGTTCAAAGTTTGATTTTATTGTTTCTTTTGCTCCTTGCTAATTTGTTTGGTGTCTGTGTTTCAATGTTATTTTATTTGTTTTTTAAATTTTTATTTAATTTTTTTAAACTAAAAAAAATAAAAAACAGTTCACCAACTGTCTTTGGTGTTTCATTGCAGTCTGGACTTGCTGCTAAAGCTGGTAATCTGTCCTGAGGATCATACTTGGAGCCCTTTCCAGGGTCTAAGCCTAACATTCATGTATTGCTTAGATGCATTTTATTTAGACTCCATTCCCTCCAGGCCTCCTAGCCTGCTACCCAAGCTGGGTAATAATCTTGAAGATGAACTCACAGCGTTTTGGAAATGACTCATCTTCTTTTCCCCCTTAGGATGGATTTGTTCGTGTTGATCGAGATTATGTCCTGAAATCTGCAGAGCTGGCAAAAGCTGGAGGGTGCAAACATTTCAACTTGCTGTCCTCTAAAGGAGCTGATAAGTCGAGCAGTTTTTTATACTTTCAAGTTAAGGTTTGTGCATGTTTCTCTCTTATATATACTTCAGAGAACCCTGGATAATTGGCAATACTAAATAATATAGAATGCTAAATACTGCAAAAATGCACTAAATGCATTATATTACACATCTTTATAGCTACAGGGTCTGTTTTTTTTGCGGGGATATATTTAGTAAACAGTGGTTTGAAAGATAATTTTCAGTGTCTTTTCCTCCTATTGATGAGCTAGTAATCCTGAAATGGGATATGGCAGCTTTGGTCTTGAATTATCAGCATGGAATCTTAACATTAGAAGAGACTTAGAGGCAGTGATTCTTAAACTTTTGCAAAGTAGATGGTATTTTATTATTGTGTATGGTTTTTGTCCTCAAGGAATTTATAATATGCTTGTTTTGGAGGATCCTTAAGTTTGGTAATTTGCTAGAAGGTCTCACAGGACTCAGAATATAGTCCTCCTCACAGCTATGAGCTATTATGGCGAAGGATATAAAGCAAAGTTAGTAGAGGGAAGAAGTGCGTGGAGTGGAGTCTGGAGGAAGCAAGGTACAGGCTTCTAAGAGTGCTCTCCCAGGGGAGTTGCATGTGCTTTACTTTTCCAGCAGTGAGTATTGCCCACCAGAGAAATTTGCCTGAGCTCAGGAGGCCAGGATTTTTATGGGGGTCAGTCACACAGGCAGCCTCAGCTTAGAAAAAATTACAGACTTCCAGAAGGAAAGCAAGTGTTCTGCATAAACCACATTGTTTGTACAAATTGTGTAGGCACAGTAAACTACCTATATCAGTTAGGCAGTGATGGGAACATTCCTGAAATCCAAGTTCCCAAGCCAAAGGCCAACCTCGCAAGCAAGCTTTTATAAGATAGCAGTCTCAGCCTGCTGTGTTAACTTTTATGCACACTGCTAATAGAGACAAAACACATCTTTGTAAAAGGCTAACTGAGAAACCTGTCCACATAAAAACTTATATCTGCATAGTCACAGAAGCATTATTCATAAGAACCAGAGTGGAAGCAACCCAGATATCCATCAGCTAATGAATGGATGGATAAAATGTGGTATATACATACAAAATGTATTCAACTATAAAAGGAATGATACATGCCACAATATGGGTGAACGTTGAAAACACTATGCTAAGCGAAAGAGGCCAGTCACAAAGACCACAACGTGTGTGATTCCATTTATGTAAAATGTCCAGAATAGGCAAATCTGTAGAGACAGAAAGGTTAGTGATCGCCTGGACTCAGAGGGAAGGGATGGGAGTGAGTACTTCTCGGTACTGGGTTTCTTTTTGGGCTGATGAAATAGTCTAAGATTGTGGGTGAAGGTGGTATCACTCTGTGAATATACCAGAAAACATTAATTAAAAAATTTTTATTTTAAAAAGCTACCCAAGCCCTGACCGGTTTGGCTCAGCGGTTAGAGCGTCGGCCTGCGGTCCTGAGAGACCCGGGTTCGGTTCCCGATAAGGGCGTGTACCTCAGTTGCAGTTTGTCCCCGGCCCTGGTCGGTTGTGCGGGTGGCAGCCACTCGTGTTTCTTTCACATCGATGTTTCTCTCTCTCTGTTCCTCTCTCTCCCTCCCACTCTACCTGAACAAAAAATGGAAAAAAAAAATGTCCTCGGTTGAGGATAAAAAAAAAAAAAAGCTACCCAAGCTCTAGCCATTTTGGCTCAGCGATTAGAGCATCAGCCCTCAGACCAATGAGTCACGGGTTCAATTCCGGCCAAGGGCACGTACCTCGGTTGTGGTTCATCTCCGGCCCTGATTGTGTCCACTAAATGTGTCCCTTTCACATTGATGTTTCTCTCTCTCTCTCTCTCTCTCCCTCTCTCTCCCTCCCGCTCTATCTGAACAAAAATGGAAAACAAAATGTCCTCGGGTGAGGATAAAAAAAAAGCTACCCAAGAATATAGGATATGTATGACAGGTTAAGTGCCAAATGACGGGAATGAACAGGCCCAGAAGGAGGAGGAGAGTGTGCTGCTCAGTTCACCAATCCTTTAGACATATCTGTGACCTGAGCTCCTTTGGCATTTCTGCCCATAGAGATGCCTGGCATGAAAATTCGTGGTTCGTTTAACAGATTTAATTTAAAGCATCATCTAGACGTAATCTCACTGCCTCTTAATATTTGGTGAGGATTTTTAGGAAATGAACAATATAGAGGGTCTGTGTGTCTGTCTTCTGACCCACTAGAATTTTCTGGAAACCAAAAAAGATCGATGTCTGCCAGCCTGTAACATTAATTTTGAACTAATGGGAGGTTATTCCTTTATGGCTGAACTCCTACCATGTATTCTCTTTGGATCTGTTTTATTTATTTACTTATTTTTCCTTTATTGATTTTAGAGACAGAGGAAGTGGGAGGGAGAGAGACAGAAACATCGATGAGAGAGAACATCGATTGGCTGCCTCCTGCATGTCCCCACCGGAGATCAGGCCCACAACTTGGGTATGTGTCCTGACCAGGAATTGAACCGGCGACCTCTTGGTACATGGGTTGACGCTCAGCTGCTGAGCCACACCAGCCAGACTATTGTTATTTATTTTTATTTATCTTTTTGTTAATCCTCACCTGAGGATATTTTTCCATTGATTTTTTAGAGAGAGTAGAAGGGGGGAGGGAGAGAGAGAGAGAGAGAGAGACAGAGACATTGAAGTGAGAGAGAAACATTGTTTGGTTGCCTCCCACAAGATCCTGACCAGGGCTGGGATGGAACCTGCAGCCCAAGTACGTGCCCTTGACCAGAATCAAACCTGTGACCCTTTGGTCCACAGGCCAATGTTCTACCCGCTGAGCCAAACCAGCCAGAGCTAGATCTGTTTTAATATTGGTCAAAATGAGAAGCTATTGACTAAGCAGACATTCATTCATTCAGTAGATCTTTTTTAACTCTACTGCATATCAGGCTTAAATGATCTCTTCCTTAACTTCCCAGACTCTCTGGAATCTAAAAATCTAGGTAAGGATATTTATAAGTACAGTGGACCCTTGAACAAGGTGGGGTTTAGGGGTGCTGACCTCTCGAGCAGTCAGAAATCCACTTGTAACTGCAGTTGGCCCTCCATATATGTGGATTTCCTTGGAGCCTTGGAGTGACCCTTGAAAATTGTGAGTTTGAACTGTGTGAGTCTATTGATAAAAACCAGCTATAAGTGGACCCGTGCAGTTTAAACTTATGTTGTTCAAGGGTCAATTCTGTTGAGACCTGAAGAAGCAGATTACTTTCAAAACCCAAAGTTATTCTCTCTTACACATTATAGTAAGTTGGTCTTGATTCAATACTAAAAATGTGGGTTTTTTGTTTTTTTTTTAAACAGGGAGAAGTGGAAGATAAGGTGGAAGATTTAAACTTTGATCGTTACTCCATATTTAGACCTGGGTGAGTATTAATACTGCCCAAGAGTGCACTATTGTTGGTTATTCCCTAGAAGGTAGTTTTTCCTTTGAAGAGGCTGACAACTGAGATATCTAAGATATGAAAGAAGTTGGCTGGAGGTGGATTAGTCTCCGAAGAACCCATCTTTTGGCTTTGAAGGAAGGGGTAGACTGTTGGTGCCAGGATCAGAATGATGTAGCTTTTGCTGCCTTCTTTTTTAAAATCCTCGTCATGCACCAAATGAAACCTTTAAGTGTTAGTCTGTTCAGGCTGCCATAACAGAATCACACCGCAGACTGGGTGGCTTAAACAATAGATATTTATTTTCAAACAGTTCTGGAGGCTAGAAGTCTAAGATCAAGGTGCCATCAGGGTTCTGTCTGGTGAGGCCACTCTTCCTGGCTTGTAGATGTCCTCTTCCGTGTCCCCACATGTTCTTTCCTCTGTGTGGGTGTGGAGAGAGACATCTCTGATATCTCTTCTTCTGTAAGGACAGCAGCCCTATCAGATTAGGGTCCCACCCTTATGACCTAAAGTCACCTGAATTACCTTCCTAAAGGTGCTGTTTTCACATACATTCACACTGGGGGTTAGGGCTTCAGCATGAATTTAGGGGAGCCACAGCTTAGTCCATTACACTCTCTGGTCTGGATGTATTTTACCATCTTTTCCTCTTTTTTTTTTTTTTCTCTTTAGAGTTCTATTATGTGATAGGCAAGAATCTCGCCCAGGTGAATGGTTCGTTAGGAAATTCTTTGGCTCCTTACCAGAATCTTGGGCCAGTGGGCATTCCGTACCAGTGGTGACTGTGGTTAGAGCAATGTTGAACAACGCAGTGAGACCAAGTGACAAGAAGAAGGAACTGCTGGATAACAAGGCCATCCACCACCTGGGGAAAGCCGATGGCTCTCTTAGGCCCTGATCACACCTGAGAAATGCTTTTCTGTAAAACTCCGCCCCCACCACCTACTTGCTGATTTAAAGATCCAATAAAAAGCACACTTTAACTGTGGTTTCAGTTTTCAGCCGACCAGGCCCAGTCAGAAAACAACTGTGCTCTGTCTGCACCAGCAGTTTAGAGCCTGAACAACATGAGCTTGAACTGAGCAGTTCCCCTTATACATGGATTTAAAAAATAAGTACTGTCAATGTGTTTTTTATTCCTTATGTTTTTGTTAACATTTTCTTTTCTCTAGCTCATTTTTTTTTGAAAAAAAGAGATAAAGTTCTAGTTCATTTTATTGTAAGAATACAGTATATAATACATATAACATAAATATGTATTAATCTACTGTTTATGTTATTGGGAAGACGTCTAGTCAACAGTAGGCTGTTAGTACAATTGGCCCTCCGCATCCGAAGATACCCAACCTTGGATCAAAAATATTGTTTTCAATCCATAGTTGGTTGAATCTGTGGGTGTCAAGTCTGTGGCTATAGAGGGCAGAGTATAGTTAAGTTCTGGGGAGTCAAAAGTTATATGCGGATTTTCAACTGCACTGGGGTTGTACCCCTAACCCACGTATGGTTCAAGGGTCAGCTATATATCACCCAGGGAGCTTTTGAAACATAGATCTTCATGAGCCCTGCCTCTACCTCACACCTTCTGAGTCCAAAGGTTTGGGGTGTGGGCACCCAGTGACTCTGATGCCACTGGTGGGGATGCCAGCTGTGAAATGCTTGTCTGCAGTGACAGCAGCAGCACAGACCTCGTGTGCCATGCAGATGCGTTCTGTTCTAAGATTGTTGACATTCATGTCTGCAAGTCACCCAGTGCTGACTGCATGCAATTGTGTAAGTGAACACTGTGCCTTACTACTTCTCTAGAATGTATAATAAAAGTCGTTCTATAACTGAGCTTATGTAATTCACGGGAGAATTAAATAGAAGAATAAAAATAAATGGACATGTCCTGGATGCCTCTTAGGTTGTTAGAAAATGCCCGAGTATCAGTGGTAATATGCAGTATTTTGGCCAATGGGATGATATAATAGCAGCTGTTATTTATCAAGTGCTTGCTAAGTGCCAGCCTTTACACAGGCTGTCTGTCTTAGAGCCCTTCAAACAGTCCTTATAATCTTTATAGATGGTACTGTCATTACTGAACAGGGGGTCACTGCCCGCCATGCATAGAAGCCAAACTATGGCACTGGCTTTTGAGAAAAGAAAGGAGCTTTATTTGTGAGTTGACTGGCAAGAAGACAGGAAGAAAGCCTCAAATCTGTCCTCCTCATCCAGGATTCTGGGTGGGGTAGCAGTTAAGGTTTCCCAAGTGTTGCTTGTGAGTGGTGTTTCACAAATATTACTCATAAGTGGTGTATCCAAGGTTTAAACTTAGGTTCCAGGTTTTATTAGAAACAGGACAGGACCAGGTTCTGTAGTTACACTCTCATCTTTATGTCCCAGACTGGGGACACAGGCTCACTGTAATTAAGTGCTTTGCCCAAGGACCCAAAGGTAAAGACCTGAAGCCAGGAGATGGCAGAGCCAGCATTCTAACCCAAGTCAGCCTGAGCCCATAACTCGTATTTTTAACCAGTCTGCAGGAGCATCCATTATCTGTATAATTCCAGGAAGTTCCAGTTCATTTTTGCTGGATCGGTACATGCTGTGGATGAATTACATCGAAACATTTGGGTTTCTCCATTGGTTTAGGATCCCACAAAATGTTCACATAGCTAGTAAAAGTGCCTCTCAAAGTGTTGTAATTTAAAAGCTATGGAAAAGGAAGGGAAGAGCAGAAGGGTCCAAGTCAAGAGGAGTTAACAGTGATAATTTCCCTCATGGAACAAAGGATGGTGGTGAAACTAGTCTTAATGTTTGTGCTGGGGGAAGCAAAGTTACTTGAGTGATTCAGTCAATTTTTACACGGTCTCCAGTATGCCAAGTGCATTTCAAGCTTTAGTGGACACGGAGGGTAAAGGCAAGTGGGTGTTAGGAAGGAGACGGGACATCTTCCTTTTGCCAGGTGGGGTTCCTTTGGGGCTGGGCTCTGGGTTCCTTTGTGTCTTTTGGTGATAACAAGGATGGGCCCCAAGAAGTGATGCCTGAAGTAATGGCAGCTAAACTCAGTCACCAATTTTAAGTTATCCTCCGCATAGTTCTTTGCCCACAAAGTTCTGTCGGGCCTTGTTCAGCACTCTATTCTGGTCCTAATAGTGAGTGAGATGATGGGGGAGGATCTGTGCTCATCTTTAGAGCAGAGGAAAAAGCTCCCCCACCCAAGCTCAGCATTATGGTGAGACATAAACTTGAAGGGACACGATTCTGACCCAATCATCCTTCTTAACTGGGTGTTACTTTTTCTTACTGTTAACATTTGAATGATCGGGTGTTACTAAAGGATTTAGCAGGTTTCCCTTCGAATGTTATACTGACAGAGAAGATGGGCCTTACAGGAGAGAGTTTACGTTGGAAAGATGAAGAAAAAAGTTGGATGGTCCTTGACAGTGAAAGGCCTTGAATTAATTAATTCAGCTTATTAAATGCCTCTGAGGTGCCACAGGGCACATAGGCAGTGTGGATAGATATATTAGTGAACAGTAAGTCTAACCCAATGGAGCCAGCAGACATTCTGGCAATGACCTACACTGTAAGAGGCTTTAAAACTAACAGTCGATGCATTCTGTCCTCTTGGAATTTACAATTAAGGGACAGAAGTACATTCAGAAGAGTTTTGCAATAATACAAGGCATCTGTTTCATTCAGTATATTTATTACCTGTTATGAATTAGGCCATGTATAATGTGCCAGAGAAATTAAAATAAAGAGACATAGCCTTGCCCTCATGGTGCAAACAGTGTTGTAGGAAACACACACACACACACACACACACACACACAGTGAGAGAAACAAATGGTAGGTGTTAAGAAAGAAACTAACAGGAGGCTGCTGGAATGACAGTAGAACCTACTTTAGAAATGGTGGTCTGCGGAACTTTCTGCTGAGACAAAAAGTACCCATTTGTAGAGTAGTCTTAGCAAAGGCCTTGAGGTGAGAAAACAAGTCCAAAGAAAAGGCTGGAGGGTGGGGCCCAGGTGTGGCGTTGAGTTGAGATGGAACATTTGGCCGGATTATGTATAGCTTGGTAGGTCGTAGTAGTCAATTTAATTTTATAAATGTGCCAAGAGCATGCTAGCCCCTGGGATTAGAGTTTGGAACATTACCTACCTAAATTACTACCATCTACCCTCCCCAGCTAACAAAGCAGCCTGTGATTTGAGTAGATACAGGGAAGGGAAGAAAGACATGAGGCATGGAAATGTTTGCGTTCCTCCCACCCAGCAACCAGAATGCTACTTCCTAAACCAGCGATTTTCAACAGGTGTGCCACAAGAATTTTTAAAACGTTTAATACCTGACTAGTCAGTGGCACTGACCTCTTTTCCGACATTGTCAAATAAAAAATGACAACTACCAACACAACAATAGCTGTCTGGTGTGAATGAATCAAAATTATATCTATTTTGCTGTGGCCAGATGGCTCACTTGGTTGGAGCATCATCCCGTACACCAAAAGGTTGCAGGTTCAATCCCCAGTCGAATACAGGAGGCAACCGATCTATGTTTCTCTCACATTGACGTTTCTCTGTCTCTCTCCCTCCCCCCTTCTTCTCTTTAAAAAAAAAAAAAAAAAAAAAATCAACGAAGACATATCCTCAAGTGAGGATTAAAGAAAAAAAAAAAGTATACCTATTTTTTGTCAAATCCACAAAAAAGATATTTTTTTGGTGTGCGGCAGAATTTTAGTAATTAGTTTGTGCCATGAGATGAAAAAGGTTGAAAATCTATGTTCCAAACACATGACAGCCCTGGCAGAGTAAGTAGATCAATTGGTTAGAGTGCTGTTTGATGCAACCAAAGTTGCAGGTTCTATCTTTGGTCAACCAATGAAAGAACCAAGGAATGCATAAATAAGTGAACAAGTTGATGTCTCTCTCTCTTCTCAAATCAATACATAAAAAACTTAAATAAAAATAAATAAATATACCTCATGTAAAGGACAAACACATGCTATGTGAACGTACAGTAAAATTTTTTCCCATTAGGCAGATCTTACCCCCTGGACTTTAAGAGAATAGCAAGAACTAGCTGTCACAGTTAATAGATAACCACTGCATTGTGCACACTGAAACGGCTTGCTCCCTCGGGAATAACGGCTAACCGCAAAATGTATTAACTCGTTTTATCCTTACAAGAACCCTGTGGTCAGGGCATTACCCCTGTTTAGTAGTTGAGGACATGGAGGCAGAGAGATGTCAGGTAACTTGCTCAAAATCATAGTTAGAAGTGTTGACGTAAGAAACATCCAAACCTGTAAAGAATTTTTGTAAGTTTATTTGAGCCAAATTGATGACATATGCTGGGGGAGCAAGATGTCAAGTGCTCTGGAGAATAGAAAAGAAGTCTTGCAGCTTCTTTTATGCAAGGCATAACGGCTAACCAAAAATATCTGCTTCTGTACATGTTTGCTTGCTCGCAAGGGTAACATAAGGAAGATTACATAAAGGTGGGAAAAAGGAAGGCTGGGATTGGATTACAGAATAGTTAACGAGGCTATGCGCTTTCTTGAGGGTGATTATGGTTTATGTCAAAGGTGTATTAACCTGGATTCACAGAAACAATGGGCAAGGGCTTGCTGAAGACAAAGATAAACTAAGTTATAAGCCTGCGGCATGACTACCCAACCCAGTTAGGGATTTATGGTTAGATCACCCTGTGAGGTTACTTTCCATAGAAAAGTGGCAGAAGTAGGAATCAAACCAATGGGTTGGCTCCGGAGCCCCTGTTCTCACCTAATCCCTATACATTAAAGACTAAAGTCCAGCCCTGCCCAGTTGTGGCTCAGTGGACTGAGCATGGTCCCATGGACTGAGAAGTCCCAGTTCCACTCCAGGTCAGGGCACAAGCCGGGGTTTCAGGTTCCATCCTCAGTGGGGGTGTGCAGGAGGCCGCCGATGATGTCTATGTTTCATTCTCTCCCTTCCTTTTTCTCTCTAAAAACAAAAAACAAAACAATGAAAACAAATCCCAAGTAGTCTCTAGTACACCCACACTGGCGTCTGTAGGTCCCTCTCCCCAGCATCCCGCCTCCTCCGCCACCAGAGGGCGCGCTGGGCCCGTCTCCCCTTCTCGAATCAGAATGAGGGAAGATCCCAGGGGCGTGAGGGCGTGGTGCCGACAGCAAAACCGCTGCGGCGTCCCCTCCTCTGGGTGCAGGGCAGCGGGCGAGGACCTCCCGCTAAAGTCTGCGGCAGCCCGAAGAGGAAGCAAGTCTCGTCCAAGCTTGAGCGCTCAGCCCTCTTTTCAACGCTTACTAGGCGCTCACTGCGTCAACGTTGCGACAGCAAGAGGCAGAGCCCCGGCTTTCGCCCCTCCCATCCCGGGTTTTCGCCCCGCCCACCTAGGCTCACGTGACCGACACCGCCACTTCGGGGCCGGAAGCGCTCCAGAGCCAGCGCGCGCGTTCTCGCGTTCCTAGGCTCCCGTGAAGTTCCCAAATCCCGGCCCTGCTGCGCGCTCCCGGTCGCGCTCGCGCTCGCTCCCGGGTCCCAATCCCGAGAGTTCCGCGGCGTCTGCGCGCGCGCGCTGCTCAGCCAGGTCCCCGCCCCCCGCACGCCGGGCTCCCGGGGCACCACCGACATGTGCTCGTTAGCGTCGGGCGCTACCGGTGGGTATCCCCGGCCCCTCAGCGCCTGGCTCGTCCAGCCCCCAGGCCGCGCCGCCGTGGGGCTGGTGAAGGACCCCCTTCCTCCCCCTGCGCCCCGCGGGACGCGGAGCCCGGGCGGTGGGCCTTCAGGAGGGTGGGGGAGGTGCGGGGAGGGCCGCCGGGACGGGACGCGCGCAGCGCCCACCTGCGGTGGACCCTTCCCCCCTCGCGCGCCGGGCTCGCGAAGCGGATCTGATCGTTTGCGTGTGCTAGGCGGCCGGGGCGCTGTGGAGGATGAGCGAGAGCCGCCCGACCTGTCCGACAGCGGTGACGAGGCCGCCTGGGAGGAGGAGGACGAGGCGGAGCTCCCCCACGACAAGCAGCAGACCCCCTGCCTGTTCTGTGACAGGTTCGTCCACCTCGGCGCCCGGCCGCAGCCCCAGGGTGCCCGCGCCGCGTGGGTCCCGTGGTCCCGTCCGGGGCAGAGTGGCCTGCCCTCGAGCCCTCCAGCCAGCGGTCTGGAGCGCGGGCCTGTGAGAAGGAAGACCCCCGGTGGTCCAGACGGAGGAGCCACGAGCCCGAAGCCGGGGTGTCTGCTACCGGCCTCAGTTTCCCCGTGTAAAGTAATAGGGTTTGGGACTGGATCTGTGGTTCCCAAATCTGGTTGTGCACCTTTGTCACCTGAGACGCTTAGAAAAAAATACAGATGCTGAACTCTGCACTTAGAAGGGGACCACAGCCCTTCTAAGTCAGGACTGGGGTCTAGGCATCTTCCGTTTTATAAAGACACTCTCAGGTGATCCTAATGAACAAGTTTCGGAGTCACAAAACAGTCTCAGGAGGACCCTTCTGGCTTGGCCATTCTGTACTTCTAGTTCTCTGACAAGTAGCTTCTCAAGTGTAATCCTTTGAACCATTTAAATAGCCTTTCTTAGGTAGGGCTCCCCACCTATTGAAGAGGAAGGAATTGATGCCTTTTTACTCAGGTTAAAAGAGACTCCAATATCAGTAACTTGTTTAAGGCCACAAAGCTGTGATTTGTCATATCCAAATCCATGTTCTTTCCACTTAAAATTCTGCCTCTTCATTTCAACAAGCGTTGACTTTGGCTGCTGTTCTGGCAAGTGGGCATGAAAGAGGCCTGGTTAGCAATGGCCAGTGTTACTGGAATGAACATTTTCCAATTTCCCTTAAATCTGGGCATGGTGCTGGTTGGTGGTATATTAGCTCCTGTTGCTTCATCCTTGTTCTGGAGAGTAGCCTCATTTGGGTAGACATAGAATGTCTGCATGTACTCCAGATGTAAAATTTATTGAGCATCCGGATGTGCTTCTTTGTGATAGGCTGCAGAAATACTGCAAAAATGACCTATGTTGGTAAACTTTGTTGAAAGCTAACTGCTGCGTGTGTGCTAGGCATATAAGAAGTATGCAGCTCCTCTTGTGTGTATTCCTACTTTGTGTCCTTCAGTTTTGCAGGCCATATTAAAGAGACTTGGTCCTCACAGTGTCTCTAATGCAAGTACTTGGGGTACACTACAAGATCACTTTTGAAATACGGCACTTTGGGAATACGCCAGTTGTAAAATGACCTTTTATGCTTTATTTCTTAAAGCAGTTTGAGCTTTGCCAGTTCAAAGCCTCCAAAAGCTGAGTTGACACTTAGAGGAGAAAAGAATCATACAAAGAGAATTTTCATATCTTGAGAGAAATAGAATCTATCACAGGGAATTCTCTTTTTTAAAAGCCTTGATAAATTCAGTGCTATTAATTGGCAAATAAGTGAACTTTGGCATTTAATGGGTAGTTTTAGATGTAAAATGGAACTCAAAAAGTACTTATTCCCTTTAGAAGTTCTGGGTTCCTGACATCTATAGATATGTTTGTTTTCTCTTAATTGGAAATAAAACTAGAAACCAGCAGATGAAAGGGGGTGTATGTTTGAAATCGACGTTTAGACTTCTTGGGGACTTTTTCAGGAAGTTATTTATTGCTTTATTTTTCAGGTTATTTACATCTGCTGAAGAAACATTTTCACACTGTAAATCTGAGCATCAATTTAATATTGATACCATGGTCCATAAACATGGTGAGTATTATTTAGAAAAAGGAAAATTTTAGTTGTGAAATTTAAGTTCAAACTTTGTTTTCTAGACCTTTCCTTTTCTAAACAAGTTCAGTATAGTGAACTACATAGCAACAACTTATTTTTTTTGACAGTGGCATTTGAGGAAAGATTACATATGTCATTCTTCTAGGTAAGCTTCACTATATTTAAGCTTAAATTTACTTCACAACTAAAAAAGGAAAAACCTTGGCATGTGATTGCATTTTTATCATATTAGAATTAAGGAGAGCAAGAGAATATATTGGAATTAGAGCAAGCATAAAGGTGAACTTTGGAAAAGGAGGTGGGACATACAAAAAGACAGCTTACCAAATCAAAGCATAACACGAGCTTCAAGGCATATAAGGTTGAGTTTTATAAGGAGTTTGGTAAGAGAGTATAGAAATGGGGTTAATGAAATTAAGGTGGTAAGCAAAATATTTAGATGACAATTCTTTTGAAACTTGCATTTAATCATATCTATTTTACAATTATAGCCTTCCACTTCTTTAAATGGATATAGAAGACCTGCAGTATTCCACAAAAATTAACTAAGTACAGAATTGGTGTTTGTTTGGTTTTTTTTTTTACTAACAACTGGAAAGGACATTCGGTAAACATGTAATAATATGTTTATAAATTATAAATTCAAGTGCAACTACTTTTGTAAGGCATGAATGACTTAGTCTCATTGGATTTTTTTCATGTTTTTAACATGCATTTTAAAACAATTGGAATCATACCTTAAATATAATTTTACATATTTTTTTCACTTATAAGATAGGGGTTTTTGTATGCTATTATGCATGTAAAACAACAATATTTCTCAGGAGAAATAATAATTTGTTGGATGTACTGTTGTTTTCCCTTATTTTAAATGCTTCATTTCTGAAAAGATACGAGAACCAGATAACAAGCCTCATTGTTTTTCAGTATACATCATTTAACTTAATGTTAAAGCTAGTATACTCCATATCCTGCCAAAATTGTAATTTGGTAGGCACCATAAAAATTGAGGATGTAGAAACTTTTGGCTCTAATGTCATACTTGGCAAAGTCTGTGACGTAATTTTCCAGATTTGTATTATTCTTAGAAATGAGAATTCTAAAAATTAATTTTCCATATTTTAGAAATGTAAGAAAAACATTTAAAATTTGTCATCTGTGATGGCTATTTGTCAAAAAATATTCAGAAGTATCAAAGTTACTGTTTCTAGTTCTTAATAAGAAATTAAAAATATAAGTTGTAGTTTGTAGAACAGAAATATTTTATTGTCTAACCAGAGAAGCCTTTATAGAGCAGATCAATTAAACAAATTCATATTATGTTAAAATAGGTAAATTATCCTTTTCTCCTCCTTTAGGACTTGAATTCTATGGATACATTAAACTAATAAATTTTATTAGACTTAAGGTAAGTTGTTAATTTACAATTTCGTTTTTGAAACTAAAGAAATACCGTTACTGCCCTGGCCAGTTTGGCTCAGTGGTTAGAGCATCAGCCTGTGAACCAGCATCTCAGGTTTGATTCTGGTCAAGGGCACATACCTTGGTTGCAGTTTGGTCCCCAGCCCTGGTTGGGGTCAATGCGTCTTTCTCACATTGATGTTTCTCCCCCCCTACTGTCAAGATAAATAGAAAAATATCCTCAGGTGAGGATTTAAAAAAAAAAGAAATACCGCTACCAGTGGTGACTAGAAAGAATACGTAGAACTGTTTTAAATTTGTCAGTCATCATACTGGAATCATGGACATTAGGAAATGCCACAATATACAGTACCAAGTAAATGGATACACACCATGCTTACTTAATAAGTGTCATTTTTAACTGCACTGAAGAGATGAACCACTGTTATATAAAAAATGAGTCAGATAAAGGGAAGTACTGATAGTGTTTCTATAAAATCAGAAATAATTTCTAGTGTGATTCAAGTACTATAGTTGCTCTCTTTGTTCTGTTTTTCGAATACTTTGTTCTTTTTTCTGTTCTATTCAAATGAGTGTTTATATCACCACTTCCTCCAGATCCAAACAATATAAAATTGTGCATTGAAAACATTGATTAAGCAATCATGCAATCAGGTTAACGAAATGACAGTTGAACATAGACTAGAGATTTTGTGTAATGTCGACATGCTTTCCTTTTTTATTGAATTTTTCTAGTTTTTGCTGGGGGATTTTGTGATTATATGCAATGAAAAAATTTTACATCCAATTTTACATGCAATTAATTTTACATCCAGAATCCTACAGTTGAGTATATGAATTCCATATACAATCCAGTGCCTTGGGAAAAAGAAGAGTATTTGAAGCCCGTTTTAGAAGATGACCTTTTACTTCAGTTTGGTAAGATGAACACACCCTTTGTGGACTATGTTTCAAATATTATACTCTACTAAAAAAAAAACAATAAGTAAACTGCATTTTATACACTCAAATTTCATTAACTTTACCCTACTCTCCCCTTTCTGTTACAAGATTCCATGTAGGATACCACAGTACATTTAGTTGTCCATTTATTTCTTTAGATGTAGAAGATCTTTATGAACCAGTGTCAGTCCCATTCTCATTCCCCAATGGACTCAGTGAAAATACCTCTGTTGTTGAAAAATTGAAACATATGGAAGCCAGGGCACTGTCTGCTGAAGCTGCATTAGCTAGAGCTCGTGAGGATCTACAAAAAATGAGGTAATTTATCAGTCTTACAAAAATTGTTTAGACCCCCTCCCCCAAATAATGCAACTAATAGTAAGATAGGATATGGTAAGACATTTCATATACTAGAAAATACAATGTAGATATTTAATTTTAGTACAGTATATTAAAGATATTCAACATTTTTATACATTGTGGACATCATTAATTGACATAAAATTCTGTAGTTTTACCTATTTCATATACTTCTTTATAATCTTATGCTAATGGTAATTGTTCTGGGAAATGTCCTCTTAAGTGTTTTTGTTCTTTGATACTGCCTTCCTTTGAATTACCCTGTTTCTAATAAATTTCTCCATCTTAATTTCCCTCTCCGAGGCTTTTAAAATGGCAGGATTAATATTTATAGGTTTGGGGGAAATACAGGATTAAAATTTTTGTTTTTAAAGAATCAAAATATAATTATGGTATAATATTTAATCAGAAAACCAGATACAGTGTTTTACTCCAGTGAATAAATTAGCATTCAACTGGCTTAATACTTCTCAGAATTTAATGTGCATTTGAATCACCTGGGGATCTTGTTAAACTACATTCTGATTCAGAAAGTCTGGAGTAGGGCCTGAGATTCTGCATTTCTACCAAGTATACCTCTAGCTTTACATATTGGATTTGTAATTTGGTTGTTGTTGCCTAAGTACCCACTTGATGGTTGGCCAGAATGTTCAGCAGAAAGAATAGTATAGCTGATTGTAGTTCCCCTTGCCTGTTTCTGAGATTTTGTGCTGGGAAACCTAATAATCACCAACAACTCTACTGGCTGTGTCTTTACACTTCTCTCCAATTCATACCTTATAGATTCTTAATATATTGTGATCAGAGAGGAAACTTAAGTTTTAGAGCTGGAGTGGATGGTGCTGGTGTATGTAAATCTTAATTTGGGTCCACTTTGTACCCACATAAGCCTTTGATGAGATACTAGGTTTTTAAGAATGTTAATAGTGTTGAAATAAAATACTACATTGATTCAGCTACTAAAATAAGATTTTGAAATATCAAGAATAATAACGTTGAGTAAAGATAATGTGCTTATTTTATTCAGTTAAAAGATATAATAAACAGCTATAATCTGCAGTTGGCAGTGCTTTTGAGGTTTGCAGAAGGAATGCTTACAAGTGGGTTTGAATACACCATTGCTTAAGATCCAGCAGGGGGAGCTTTCAGTTGCTTGAGATAGAATGTGAATTAGAAGGCTCATCACACTCAGCTCACTCCCGCCCCTTTCCTCTTCCTCAACCTCTAGCCTTTCCTTTTTCATAGTCCAATAAACCTGTCTCAAGGGTGTATTTCAAATTGATTACAGACAATTTGCTCAGGATTTTGTGATGAACGATGTCAGAACCTGGTCAGCATCTACTACTGCCATTGCAGACCTCCAGGAGGATGAGGATGGTGTTTATTTCAGCTCATACGGGCATTATGGGATACATGAAGAAATGCTAAAGGTTAGAAAAGAGCACAAATGCACCAAATCCATAATAAAGGGAAAATTTAATAAGTCAGATTCTTAATACACATGTTATAGGAAACTGCTTTTCTTTCTTTTTTTGATAACTGCTTTTTAAATCTCTTTGATGCTTTATTTCATCTTGAGTTGAAAAGATTGTGGGAGCATCAAAGTCATTTAAATTCTGTTTAAGATCATTATTAATCTTTGTTATGGAATTACTTTTGCTTTAAATAGAACATAGGTTAAAAAAACAACTGCTGACTATTTTAGTCTTCTCAAGAGCAACTGTTAAATAGGAACAAATAAATTATATGTTGGTTTTTAAATATACAAAGGAAATTATTAATTTCAGTATTTTAAATAGCCATATTGACTTCAGTTTGGGCAAATAATTTCTTGGTACAAAGTTAAATTATAAATAATTCTCAGTTGTTTTGGCATAACTTTTTTACATCTGAAATCATTGCTGTATAGAGGAATTTTATAAATTGGTTAAATTGGGATTTAAATTTGGCTGGTTTTAATTTTTCTAATGGTAATATCCATAACTAGATTTCTAGTTATACCTGGTAGTTATACATTTTATCATGTATTATATTATATGTTGTAAACTAGCAAGATGTAATTTTTTAATGTAAAACTGAAAATATCTAGAGTAAAGCAAATGTTGGAATATAAAAATTATTGAAAATTTTATGTTTATCTCTGAATTTTAGAGTCCACTACCTTTTCTTGAAACAAACAAAGAATTTCTTCCTAAATGCTTTCTCAAATGATTGTTTTATCTTATGGAAGCCCCTAGACTTTGTTCCCCTGAAACATACATTTAAAATAACCAGGGAATTTAATAGCATCTATATATTTTGTTCATTCAGTTTTGTAGAATCAAAGAGTGAAGACTCAATGATTATGACTAATTGTAATTACTTAAGGTTTTTAAAGCAATGCCACATCATTTTTTTATAATGACATGTAAGGGTTGTGCTTCTTCTTGTCACTTGGGTAATAGTATAGCATTACAAATAACAGTTATCTTACTGTAAGTAATACATTAACTCCAGAGTGAAATTGTTTAAAAGAAATTGACTTTATTTTGTTATTATTAAAATTAATTTTATTGTGTCTAGAATATTTTCCTTGAAGGAGTTAATCTAAGCCCATGTTTGTCATTTTAAATCACCCCATCAGTATAAGTGCCATGAACCTTTAATGCTTTTAGTGTAGAAATTGTGTTGCATTTTTCAGACAGCTAAGGTTGAGACTCCCAGTAGGTAGTCCATGTGAGTGTCTTCAACACAATCATCAGGGAAATCCACTTTGAGCACTTATTTCCAATACTCTTTCCTGGATACTTGTAGCTATATATCAATAAAAAACATTTTTTTAAAAAAATTGATTAATGGATTGATTTTTACAGAAAGAGAGAAATAGTGATTTGTTGTTCTACTCATTTATGAATTTATTGGTTGATTCTTGTATGTGCCCTGACGGGGGATCAAAACCTCCAACCTTGGTGTATTAGAGTAATGCTCTAACCAACTGACCTACCTGGCCAGGGTAATAACTACAAGATCTTTACACCTGATTGTATATGTTTAAGTCTTTCTGATGTACATACGGATTTAAGTTCCAGCCTGAAGTTTACAGTGCTATATTTTCCCTTTTAGAGAATCACTGTAAGGATCCTTACTTATATAATTTTCCATGCCTTGGTTCCCCTTAGCTATTATATAATGTGATTATCTCTCCTTGCATATGACTGTTCATATGAAACACAGATACATTTAATTCAAAAAGAGCTGTTTATCCATCATATATTTTGCTAAGTTATGTGCTATACTAAATATGAAATGTGCCTTATATCAAGCAATATTTAATCTGTTATCAAAAACAATTGTGAGGACACCTCATCTGTTCAAGATTTTACTATTATCAAAATCTCATCTGATCTTTATAAATAATGTAAATTGAGAAACCATATTACAGAACTTATTTTTATGCTTAGAACAGGCCTTGCTTTTATAGGAATATTATTTGGATTTTTTTGTTGCTTAGTTTCAGATATTTTAATGACATTATTTTAACATATGTTGGGATTATAATGATAAATAAAGGCAGTTTATGATTTTATTTTCTGGAGTTCAGATGAAGATACTTTTTTTTTTAATTACAGAGATACAGTTGATAGAGGGATAGATTATATGAACTTTTGAAATCCTTTGCCACTTTGTCTTTTTGAAGACGAGTCATTGTTGAGTAATGTTTTAAATCTGAAATGCATCCATTTCTCTTTTTCTTTTCTCCAGGAAAAACCTTGTTCATCCTGGTGAACGTTTATCACAAATTATAGTAGTATTAAATAATTTTTTTATTACGTTCTCATTGTATTTGCAACTGACTCATGCATTCTGTCCACTTTTGTGAGCCTATACATTTAAAACATACTGTTATTTATGTATGTAAACTTTACAGTATATAACTTTTATGTTGTCTCTGGTCGTCTTATTCTTAAATTTTTTTTAATCTTCACCCAAAGATATGTTTATTGATTTTAGAAAGAGGGTGGGAGGGAGAGAGAGAAAAGAAACATCCATGTGAGAGAAAAATGAGACACCCAACCAGGGCTAAAATTGTTTTTCTTAATTATTCATAGGAATAATTCCATGACACTTTACCAGTCTTAAATGATAATCTTGCTGTTTAGTATTGGAAGTCTAATTTAATTCTTTTTTTGTGTTTCTCTGTTTTAATAGGTTGGTGCAAGATATAATTTTTAAATTTCTGTTTATTACCTTATTTTGTATTAAAGTGTTAGTCTTTTGTTGGAATAAATTTTTAGAAATGGTTATGAGGGTTAGTCTTACATGCTTGCATTTTTGTGTTCAGTGAATTTTTCTTTAAAAATTTAATTATTAAATTGACCCCTGGCTGGTTTGGCTCAGCAGTTAGAGCATAGGCCCGTGGACCAGAGAGACCCGGGTTCGGTTCCCACTAAGGGCACATACTCTCAAAAAAAAATTTAGTTATTAAATTGAAACTGTTCTGTCTAAGGTACTATGTTAGGTACACTTTAGATTTCATTGCACCAGGGTGAGCATATGAACAAAAACAGATGGATATATAGAAAGAGCCTAGATGAAGGATTATAGTTGAATAGGACAGCAGTGCATGAATTTAGGACAGGATGCTAATGATTAAGTTGGAGCAGTGGTGAAGAAGCAATGTAATTGGTGAGATCTTTCCAAGTGATTGGCTTCTTTTTTTTTTTTTTTTTTTTTAATCCTCACCCGAGGATATTTTTCCATTTTTTTGTACAGATAGAGTGGGAGGGAGAGAGAGGAAGGGAGAGAGAGAGAGACATCGACGTGAAGGGACACATCGAGTGGCTGCCACCCGCACGACCAACCAGGGCCGGGGACAAACTGCAACCGAAGTACGTGCCCTTAGAGGGAACCGAACCCGGGTCTCTCCGGACCGCAGGCCGACGCTCTAACCGCTGAGCAAAACTGGCCAGGGCGTGATTGGCTTCTTGAATGATGTTCACCCCTTATAGGTCTATTGTGTCAGCAAAAATCACTGGTTACGGTGTAAGAAAAGTATAATAATGATAAAAATGTATGAAATGATATTTTTTTAATTTCTAAAATTAATTAGTTAAAATGTATAAACTTATTAATACATTAGACTTTTTGTTTTGTTTTGTTTTTTTTCTTTTTTTTTTTCTCCTCACCCGAGGATATTTTTCCATTTTTTTGTACAGATAGAGTGGGAGGGAGAGAGCGAGAGAAACATCGATGTGAAGAGACACATCGAGTGGCTGCCACCCGCACGACCGACCAGGGCCGGGGACAAACTGCAACCGAAGTATGTGCCCTTAGCGGGAACCGAACCCGGGTCTCTCCGGACCGCAGGCCGACGCTCTAACTGCTGAGCCAAACTGGCCAGGGCGTGATTGGCTTCTTGAATGATGTTCACCCCTTATAGGTCTATTGTGTCAGCAAAAATCACTGGTTACGGTGTAAGAAAAGTATAATGATAAAATGTATGAAATGATATTTTTTTAATTTCTAAAATTAATTAGTTAAAATGTATAAACTTATTAATACATTAGACTTTTTGTTTTTGTTTTTAGTAATTCTTTAAAATCTTTCAGGGAAAGACTTAATAAACCTGGTTTAAAATTTTGTTTGTGCCCTGGCCGGTTTGGCTCAGCGGTTAGAGCGTCGGCCTGCGGTACAGAGAGACCCGGTTCGGTTCCCGCTAAGGGCACGTACCTCGGTTGCAGTTTGTCCCCGGCCCTGGTTGGTCGTGCGGGTGGCAGCCACTCGATGTGTCCCTTCACATCGATGTTTCTCTCTCTCTCTCTTCCTCTCTCTCCCTCCCGCTCTGTCTGAACAAAAAATGGAAAAATGTCCTCGGGTGAGGATAAAAAAAAAAAAAAAAAAATTTTTGTTTGTAAAGCCATTAGTAATCCATCAGAAAGCATGGAATTAATTATGGAATTCCCCCTTTTTAGATCTACTATTTAAGTAAAACAACTTGTCTTTTAATTTAAGACTTTCTTTAAGAATTTTTTTTAATCCCAATATTGGCATAAAAATTTGAGGGGTCGTGAATTACATGGATTGTATCAATTTTATGTTGTATAATTTGGTGTAACTATTTTTTTTTTTACCTAGTGTTAAACTCAAAACTAGAATTTCCAATCTGAGATATTTTTATCATACTCATTTTACTCACTTGGCCACAGAGACCTTTGCTGCCTAACTTAGTGTTCATATGTATCTCAATTGAAGTAATTTAAAAGGGAATCAGCTCTGTTTATGAACCAACATAAATGTTAGCATTCAGTGCCTGCCTAGGTCATAGGTCTTGTGAGACTCCAAATGCAGAAGTCTCATAATGTGGGCTGCAGAGCCCAAATGATTTATTTTTAATCTTACAGGCTTTTAAGCATCATTTCCTACTACAGACATTTGTAGAAACAAGACAGGATTATAAATCAGATAGATGCTGACAAATGACTTTCTTAGAAAAACCATACACAGTTTAAGCTTCATTTTTCATATGTAACTCTAATTTTACATTTACCTTTTTTTTTTTTCCTCCAATATTTTAACGTAACTTTTAATACAGGGAGCCAGACTCTAGATTCCAGGCCCTATTTAAAGGAGCAAAATATCGTGTTCATCTATTAGCTTTAACTATCATTTGAAGTTTTATAATGATAATGCATGTCAAGATAAAAATGTATACATTTTTAATAACTTAAATTTTATTTGACTTTCAGTGATGTTCTTAAACTTTCGTGTGTGTGGTTGCTATTTCTGTTCTTATTGTTTTCTGTTAATAAAATTAAGCTTGGTTTTCTAGGCAAAAAGTAGCTATGGAAACTAACAATGTATAATAAAATAGAAAATAACTTCCTAAAACTTTTACTTGTTTAGACAATTCTGTAAACATGATGTTTTCTCTCTCCATCATAGGACAAAATACGAACAGAAAGTTACCGAGATTTTATATACCAAAATCCACATATCTTCAAAGACAAGGTGAGTAGTGTAGGCCACAGAGTTGTACGTTTTATGTGGTTCTTGGCAGTAGAAATCCTCTCTTGGGTCATCATTGTGATTGGTAGCAGTTGATTTAATGTACTCTGGCTTTATTTCATGGAAGACTTTTATGATGCCGCTCTGTAGTGCAGAATACTGATAACAGAAATGCTGATTGGTATTATCTGTCATTCAATATATTCTTTTTTTAAACTGAAATCATTAATTACTGTGACATAGCTTAGTTAAACTTTGGTTATCCAGATAATATTGCTTAAACCATAGTTTTTATTTACTGTGATTTATGTGAATTTTAAATGTATCAGATAAGCCCCTATACAAAAACATACTTTTCATTAGTATTCCAGTTTGTTAGTTAATTAAAAATTAATAATTTTAAGAAGTTATTGGTACATAAGAACAAATAATGTAAAGTAGGATTTATATTGTGCTTTCTTTTAAGACTTTATTTATTTACTCCTTAATGAGGCATTTTAAATTTACAAGTAGTCTTCATACTGCCTCAGATTATTCAAAGATGATCTTTCACACTTTGTTTGTGTTTGAAATTTGTGTAATTTGTTTTTCTTCCTTTGTAACTTTTTAAAATTTTTTTCCTCTTCCTTTCCTCCCTCTCAAGGTTACCTCTAAAAGTTCAAATTTTCTGTTCTTCCTTATTGGAAGTTGGTCTACTAATTTCAAGAATATTGTCATCTGCTACTTACATACCTCTGCTTGAGAATTTTCACCCACATTTTTCACTTTGAGAACATGTACATTATAATATGTCAGGTTTTTATAATTCCCCTTTCACCTCCATTTTTAATTTTTAAAAATTTATTTATTGATTTTAGAGAGAAACATTGATTTGTTGTTCTACTTATTTTGCATTCATTGGTTGATTCTTCTTTGTGCCCTGACCAGGGATCAGACCTGCAACCTTGGCATGTAGGGACGACACTCACCTCTTTTTTTAACTTTTGGAAGTGATGGAAATCTGTTTATGGCATAGACTGTAGTGATGGTTTCATAGGTATATACTTATCTCCAAACCTAAGAAGAGCTTTTTGTATTGCCTCCTTTTTAAAAAAATACCTGTCTAAGGTTAATTCATAGGCTTTACATCATATTGCACCAGTGACTGACAATCTTTATATTTAGAAAAATCTCTTCCTGGTATTTAAATTGTTTGGAATTTAATGTAGATTGGCTTTTCATGTCTTACCCTGTTTTCTAACAGTATTTCACTTCTTGACTGAGCTGAGTTACACAGTGAAATTTATGTGGTGCCTTGTATATCTTTTTGCCAAAGCACTAACTATCATGAAAGGTTTATGATGGTGTGTGTCTCTCTTTGTTTTTGCTGATTCCCATTAGAGACAACTAGTGATTCATTTTTTAAATCTTAGTTTTATCAGTTCTTTGTAATTAGCATCCTTGAATGCTTTTTATATGTATTACAGGAGAGACTAAGAATTTTTAAATAGTTTTTGTCTTTACACGCAAGTGCTGTAAAAAATTTTTTAATATGTATATCTAAAAAACCCAAGTTGGTTTTAGTGAAGCAGATATGTTACTGTTAGAAATTTTGCTTTATATTTATAGTTGGATTATGCTCAGCTTTCAGTTGTATTTTTTTCTTAATATGTGAATATAGAAATTAAGCATGCACTGGTCTGGGAATCACTAGTCTTGCCCAGCTTCTCAGGAATCAGCTTTATAATAATTTTAGACAAGTGATGAATCTCTTTGAACCTCATCTATAACCTTTTGGTTCTAAAATTTTATGATTTTTGTTATAATAAAAGCACCATCATTATCTTTCTTTTCTTAATATTTTTTGGTATGCGTAACATAAGAACTTAAGTGAAAGTAAGTTAGAGGTTTCTTTTCCATTATGTTCCTGAATAGACTTTGTCTTACACTGTGTAAGAAAATACTGAAAAGGTACAAGTATTAATAATTATAGATTAATCATTGAGAAATTAAGTAACTATGAATATTTCTATGTATATAGAGCACATCTTACTGGATTAATAGACTATACACAGTCACTTTCTGCTTCTTGTTTTTATTTGTAATAGTATTGTAGAAATGTTGTATATGTTATGTAAGGCATTTTCAGACAAAATATATGACGTTGGAAAACAGAATGTTTATAATTATTTTTGTTCTGTTTACTGCTCTTACTGAAGATATTAAATCTGCCAAGTCAGAAAGGGGCTTATTAATAAGTTGGGAGTATATTTCTTTAGTTCTTGGGCTATTTAACTTATTGATGTGCAATTAGTTTTGCTTGGCATTTATAGTTTCTCAAAAATATACTGTAATGTAAAATATTACAGGTATCATTTTTCTAACTCAAAGCATATGCAGGGTATAATTTTCTGTAATTAAAATATAAAATAATCTAGAGTTTTTATATTTTAAATGATTTGGGATACTTTTCCTTATTGTACTATGGGTATAGATTTAGAAAATATACTGCAATATATGTAAATAGCATTTGATAATTTAGATTTAGAAAATCTACTACCATATAGTTAAATAGCATTTGTCCCATTGTTGCTATACAATATTCTGCTGAGTAGGTAGGGCAAGTATCTATCTCCATTTTACACATGAGGAAACTTGAAACCAATAGGGTAGTTGACTTGCCCTAAAACTGGCCATTAAAAATAAACAAACTTGCCCTGGCCAGTTTTTGCACAGCGGTTAGAGCGTCAGGCTGTGGTCCAGAGAGACCTAGGTTTGGTTCCCACTAAGGGCACATACCTCGGTTGGTCGAGCGGGTGGCAGCCACTCAGTGTATCCCTTTCACGTCGATGTTTTTCTCTCTCTCTCTCCCTCCCTCCCTCTCTCCCGCTCTATCTGAACAAAGAATGGAAAAATGTCCTCTGGTGAGGATAAAAATAAATAAACAAACTTGAAGGGTTTTAGTCCTAGTCTAGTGCTCTTTACCCTATGTGATTACAGTTTAAACACCGTTATGTTGAAATAGAATGAGTAATTAGGGTGGCATCCTTAAGTAACATTTAAATCACACTATTTTTTTTATATACAGGTTCTATAATTTATATTTAAAAATATAATTATTTTTAAATGTATGAAATAATGCTTACCTACATTTTATTACCATTATTTTTGTTTGCTTTTGTTTCCATTAGGTAGACAGACTTCATTATCACAACACTAGTTTTTATATCATATTATGTAATGCAAGAAGAGATTTATTTATTTTTTTAAAAAGTGCTTATACTGCCCTGGCTGGTTTAGCTCAGTGGTTAGAGTGTCGGTCCGAAGACCAAAGAGTCACGGGGTTGATTCCAGTCAAGGGCACGTACCTTGGTTGCAGTTCATTCCCCTGTCGGGATAGTGCAGGAGTCAACCAGTTGTTTCTCTCTCACATCAATGTTTCTCTCTCTCTCTCACTCCCCCTCCCACTCTATCTGAAGGATAAATGGGGAAAAAATATCATCCAATGAGGATTTAAAAACAAGGGCTTATACTTAAAAATGTGTTTCTGGCCCTGGCCAGTTTGGCTCAGCGGTTGGAGCGTTGGCCTGTGGACCAGAGAGTCCTGGGTTCGGTTCCTACTAGGGGCATGTACCCTCCCCCCCTTAAAAAAATGTGTTCTTGTCCTGGCTTGTGTGCTCAGTGGTTTGACTGTCAGCCCATGCATCAGAGGGTCATGGGTTCAAATCCTGGTCAAGGGCATATACTTGGGTTGCAGGTTTAAACCCTGGCCCCTGTCGGACATGTTTGGGAGGGAACATCGATGTGTCTCTCTCTCCGCACTTCCTCCCTCCCTACCCTGTTCCCCCACCCACTTTCCTCCCTTTCACTCTCTCTAAAAAAAAATCAGTGGGCTCAGCCTGTGTGGCTCAGTGGTTGAGCATCAACTCATGCACCAAGAGGTCACTGGTTTGATTCACAGTCAGGGCTCATGGCCCAGTAGCCATGCAGGAGGTGGCCAGTCGATGTTCTTTCTCATCAGTGTTTCTCTCTCCTTCTCCCTTCCTCTCTCTCTAAAATCAATAAAGAAAAAATAACTAATGGAAAAAATATCTGCGAGTGAGGATTAACAATAAGAAGTGTGTTTTTTCCTCCTTCCCTTCTCTCTCCATTCTTCCCTTTCTGCTGCCTTTCCTTCATTCCTTTCTTAATATTGTTTCAATTCACAGCTCCTGTGGAGGCCATATGGTTTCTCAGATTTAATTTAACTTTGGGTGGCTTTTAATTGTGTTATCACCCACTCATAATTAATTTCCATTTGTGGTCCATTGAAGAAATTCACAGTAAGGTGCCTTTATGCTTTTGATTATTATCTAAAGTTAAAATTTACTTTTTAGAAAAAGTGAATCAAATTCCTTCATCACTTGTACCTCTTTGATTCTATCATGTTTTAGTTCATTTCTTCATTTATCTAATTTTTAGCTAGATATAATAATTAAGATACAATTAAAAATATAATTTAAAATAGGCTTTAGAAGCAGACTGACCTATGTTCGAATGCTAGCTTTACAAATTACCAGCTGTATGATCCTGGACCTTTTACTTTCCCTCTCTGAAGCTCACTTTCCTCATTTGCACAATGAGGATTAAATAAGAATTGTGTGTGTGTGTGTGATAGCCTCACAAAAGCACCCAAACTCTAATTGGATTAAATGGTGTGCGCTTCTCCTTTTGTGCTTAGCTTTTCATCACTCAGCAATTTTTCTTAGAGATAATTCTTTTTTTTTTTTTTCAATCCTCACCCAAGGTTATGTTTTATTAATATTTTAGAGAGAGAGGAAAGGAAAGAGAGAAACATCAGTCAGTTGCCTCCCTTAGGCACCCTGACCAGGAATTGAACCTGCAAAATTATGGTGTATAGGACAGTTCTCCATCCATCTGAGCCACACAGCCAAGGCTTAGCGAAATTCTTTATTCACATCCTTTTAGTGACTCATATATCCAATATAAGAATGTTCATAAGTTATTTTAACTTTTCATATTAGAAACAATGCTGCATATAATAAAATATTAAAAATCTTTTTTCTTTTAATCCTCACCCCTGGATAATTTTCCACTTATCTTAGACAGAGTGGGAGGCAGGTAGGGAGAGAGAGAGAGAGAAAGAGAAACATCGATGCAAGAGAGACTTATTGATTGGCTGCCTCCCGCACAACTCTGACCAGGACTGGGGACCAAACTGCAACTGAGGTATGTGCCCTTGTTTGGAATTGAATCCTTGTCTCTTCAGTCCATGGGCTGACACTGCAACCGCTGAGCCCAACCGGCTAGGGCTAAAATCTTTTTATATTTGGTAGACTATAATAACAAGATGCATTTCTAGCAGTGGATTCCCTGGGTCAAAAAGATTATACCCTGGATAATGTTAGTGCCGCCAGCTTGTCTTTTCCTGAACAGTGCCTGAATGTTGATATTCCCAAACACATTGTCAAAGCACTATGCTATCATACTTCTAAATTTCACACCAACCTTTTATTTTTAATTTTTTAATTTTGTAAATATTTAATGGACGTTTCTGGGAACTTATCACATTATTGTGTTATGTATTTTTCCATTTAATTATCATTTTATGCCATATAATATTTCAAACTGATGTGCTATAACTATACTATAAATGTATTCTACATATTATAGCATTCTTTTGCTAATGTGTTTTATACGTTTTATTTGAAACTTTAGTTTTTTATTGATTGGTTTTAGGGAGAGAGAGAGAAACATTGATTTGTTGTTCCACTTATTTATGCATTTATTGGTTGCTTCTTGTGTGTGCCCTGACCAGGGATCAAACCCGCAACCTTGGCATATCAGGATGACTCTCTAACCAATCGAGTATCTGGCCAGGGCTTATTTATAACTTTAAAAACTATTTAATTTTGCCTGGCCAATGTGGCTCAGTTGTTTGAGTGTCATCCTATGCACCAGGAAGTCACCCATTTGATTCCCGGTCAGGGCACATGCCTGGGTTTTCAGGCTCAATCCCTAGTGGAGGGCATGCAAGAGGCAGCCAATTGATGTTCCTCTCTCAGTGTTTCTGTATCTCTTTCCTTCTCCCTTACTGTATTTGAAATCAATAAAAACATATTTAAAAATATAATGATAAATATTTAATTTTGTTTGTAATTATGTTGTATATAATCACGTACCAATAATTATTCAAACAGAAGCTTTGCAGAATATTTTAGTATCTAGTAAGGTTGTTCCACCCTTGCTGCAAAATTATATTTTAAAATTCTTGTTTTCTTGTGTGTAAAATAGTTAGGTTAAAATGTGCTGACTCACCCAGACAGGCACATATGCAGGAACAGTCACATTTTCCCTGTGACACCCTCTGGGCCTTGTCTTTTTTTGAGAGACAGAGGATAGCTGACACAGAGTGGTAGACTTTTGACAACTTTATTTCTTAAAGGGAAATTGGGCCGTTTAGATTTTCACTCTTCTGGTGTCAGTTTTGGTCAACTTATTTTCAAGATATATGGACAGGACTCCACTTACAATAGTAAACAATGCAGGAGATAAAATACGTAGGAACAAACTGAACTAGTAAGATATGAGACTTTAGTGAAAAAGATTTTTAAAAAAAAAAAAATTGAAGAACAACCCTCTCCGATTGGCCAGTCAGTTGGAACATCATCCTGTACACCAAAAGGTTGGGGGTTCAATTCTCCATCAGGGTACATACCTAGGTTGTGGGTTCAATCCAGTCAGGTTGTGTATGGGAGGCAACCAATCAGTGTTTCTCTCACACATCAATGTTTCTCTTTCTCCTTTCCTCTTTCTCCAAAAAGCAATAAAAACATATCCTCAGGTAAGGATTAAAAAAAAAAAAACAACTGAAGAACATAACAGATGATTTAAACAAACTGAGTCATACTGTGTTCTTTAATAGTATAGTCAGTTTTCCCTAAATAAGTTTGTAATTTAGCTCAATCCCCGTAAACTTTCTAAGACTTTTAAAACCTAGACAAGCTGATCCTTTTGTTCTCAAGGGAAGATAAACACACAAAATTATCCAGAAATACTATGAAAAAATGTTTACAGTGAGGGTAGACCAGCCTTACTAGATACTAAAATAGTCTGTAAAGCTTTTGTAATTAGAATAATTACTGGCATATGATTTATATAGATTCAAAATAATAATATAGAATAAAAATCCGGAAACAGACCACAATATACACGGAAATTTTAGTGAATGTTAAACATCCTTTTCTCAGTTCATTTGGGTTGCTATAACAAAAATATAAGCTGAGTGGCTTATAAATAACAGAAATTTATTTCTCACAGTTCTGGAGGCTTAGAGAGTTCGAAGCAATAGCTGATTATTGTGAAGGCCCACTTTGTGGTTCAGAGACATGCTTTATGCTCTGTTTTCACATGATGGAAGAGAGCAAGGAATCTGTCTGGAGCCTCATAAATTTACCATTCCCATTGGTTATGGCTCTGTCCTCATGACCTAATCTCCTCCTAAAGGCCCCAGCTTCTACACCATCACCTTGAGGGTTAGGATTTCAACATATAAAATTTATGGTAAGTTCCCACACAACAAACATTTAGACCATAGCAGCCATATATTATCAAATCAGTGGGTAAACAGGCTTTTTAATAACATGTTAGGACAACTGTAAATTTGGAACCATACCTCTGTGTATACCATGATAAGAAACCAAACTATACTAATGAAATCATAAATGTGTTAGAAAGAAATGTATGAGGATGAAATAGGAGAGAACATGGAGAAGGCCATTCTAATTATGATCAAAATTCGGAAGTCAGAAAAAGTTAATGAGTTTGACTGTTAGTTAAAAATTTCTGCATAACAAAAATTACTGTAAGCAGAAGACATGTATATGCTGAGAAAAAAACAGTGCAAGTCATATTGTAGAGGTGCAGTCTTGATTTACAAAGAACTCTTATTTGATAAGAGTTGGTAAGAAAAATTTGGTTAAAAAATTGATGCGAAAAGGACTAGTAACTTAGTGGAACAATGGACAAAGGATGTAAGTAGATAGTTCACACAACAAAGAACTACAGATGGCTCTACAGCATATGGGATGATGCTAAACCTCATGATATTGAAAATGCATATTAAAACAAGACCAGTATATCATTATTTTGCATTTGCCAGATTGGCAGAAATACAGAAGTTTATCTGTTCCATGGACTAGTCTGACCTAAGAGGAAATTAGTACACATTGGTGGTCGGAGTCTTTATGAATAGAATTGCCCTCTGAGGGGTAATTTGGTTAAGTCTAGCAGGGTTATAAATATGTATATACTCTCTAACAAAATATTTTCAGGTGTTTTTTTTTTCCTAGGAGTATATTTTATAGATTTACTAGTGTGAATGGGGTTTAATATGAGGTTATTTACAGCATTGTCATAGTAAAATTTCAATAGCTATCTAAATGCCCCATTAATAGAGAACTGGACCAGTAGATTATGTTACAGCCATAATATGGAATCCTATTCAGCTGTGTAAGAGATATTCTATAAAATGATATGCAAAGATCTCTATATTCTTAAATTTTTAAAAAAATGTGTGGCACAGTGGGTATAATAGGCTTCCATTGTAAAAAGGGGAAGCAAAAACATTGCATTGTATATGCATAAAAATTCTCTATTAACTTTCACAAATGATTTCATTTTTAAAATTTAAATTCTCAAGTTACTGAATTCTAGATGCCAACTTGTTCTTATTGTACCTGTATTGTTAAAATGAGTTGAATATTTAGTTTTGGAAATGGAAGGGATGTGATGATATTCAAAATCTATGATTCCTTTATAACCATTTTTTTAAATGATATTGAATTAGGTTATCCTGCTTAAGTTAATTTCTGCCATTCAAACTTGAGGTAGTATATTTCAGTTAACATTTAGAACTGCTAAACCCAGATTAGCGCATACTTAAAAAGAAAATACTTTCCTATTAAGTCTATGGAAGTTGCTTATTTCATATAAAACATCTCTTAAATTTACATTGTTGTGTCTGAATGCAACAGACTGTTATGAATTTAAAACAACCCATTGTAATAATATCTTCAGTTTTCCCAAATGGAATATATTACCATATTCGATAAAGTTTTTAAATTTAATGTTTCCTAGTCAGAAACAGCATAATATATGAATAGAATTTAAAATATTAGACCTTTTCAATAACATGTGTTTGTTTTTTTTATTACACCAGGTAGTTTTGGATGTTGGTTGTGGAACTGGAATTCTGTCGATGTTTGCTGCTAAAGCTGGGGCAAGGAAGGTTTTTGGTGTTGATCAGTCTGAAATCCTTTACCAGGCAATGGATATCATAAGGTAGATGCATTTTAAGTCTTGATTTAAGATTATTTTTAAGTTTAATGATTAACAGGTTTTTTTTAATCTTTAATAGCTATCTAAGGTACTCAAGACATTTGTCTGTCTTTTAGTTAAAATTTATTCCAGAATAATATTTTAAGTTGAACTAGACATGTTTGATCAATGAATAATCTTTTTAAAGTTCTCATTGATTAAAATCATTTTCATATAATTTTCTGTTTTTCTAATTATTGCTATAAGTATGCTAATTATAATATAAAATCAGAAACCATTGATATACAAGGTAATATTATTAGAGGACTCTCTACAGAACTAAATATTTATATTAGTATTATTTCCTTCAGCAAACAGCAGACTAAAGCCTAAAGAGTATCTTTTTTTTTTTTTTTTTTAAACAATATTAGCCTCCTTTAGATTAAAATAAGTAATTTCCACAATGGCTAAAAACAAAGCAGAGTGGATTTAATTTATCCCCTAAAACTTAATTTTATTCTCTTAAAAATATTGCCTCTCTTTGAGGAAATATGTTAGGTAATTGATTTTATGATTGGCTTATGTCCTAGTAAAAAGACCTTTATTTGAACTACAGCTTATAGAACTAGATTTCTTTAGCTGTATACTTAACAAAAACATCTTACATTTTCAACTTAGGAGTAATTTTCAGAATAAATTATTAATATGCCTTGGCCTTTTTGTCTCAGTAGTTAGAGCATTAGCCTGTGGACTGAAGGGTCATGGGTTCAATTCCAGTGAAGGGCAAGTACCTGGGTTGCAAGTTCGATCCCTGGCCCCAGTCGTAGTCATGCAAGAGGCATCCAGTCGATGTGTCTTTCTCACGAGTGTTTCTCCCCCTCCCTCCCTCTTTCCCTTCCTTTCTCCCACTCTCTCTCAAAAGCAATGGAAAAATAACCTCGGGTGAAGATTAAAAAATAGGAGGCCCCTCAGCTACTCTTTCTTTTTCCAGCTTTATTTACACACACAGCACTGTATAGGTTTGATGTATAGTGTGTTGCTTTGATACATTTCTGTATTGCAAAATACCATAGCATTATATAATACCTCCATTGTGTCACATAAGTACTATTTCTTTTTTGCGGTGATAACATTTAAGGTCTACTCTCAGTAAATTTAAGTATATAATGTAGTATTAGCTGTAATTACCATGCTGTACCTTAGATCCCCCCCCCAAAAAAATGGTTCTTAAGTGAACCTCATTGATGCTTATATTCTGTTATCAAAATTGATTAATATTTATTTTTTCTCAGTAGTATAAAATTATATATGGTTATGTAAAATATTTAAATTTTTAGATTTTATAGCATAATATGAAAGTATATATTTGTGGTTAAGAGCACAAGGTTTGAGTCAGGCTTGTATTCAAGTTCTTGCTCTACCACTTACCAGTTATTTGAACTTTGAATTAATTGTATCTAACCTTTTTGAAACCTTAGTTGTTTCACTGTCAAAATGAAAATAATAATGATTACTCGTCTGCTTATGAGTAAGGTAAATAAGTTGTGAATAAAATATACATATAAATTTGGGGCATATTCCCTGGCACATAGTAGGTATTCAAAAGTTAGCTACTATTACTGTTAATTCACAAGTACCAAGTTAATGTTAATGAAAAAAAGCACATTGATTTTGCTTAGATTTTTTTTATAGATACAGGTTTGTCGTTATGATTTTCATATCGGAGAATATGCATATATATTGCCTATATGTATGCAGTTCTGTAATCAAGTACAATTTTTTTCTGGTTCTTAGAGTACTGTTAAGTACATCATCATCATTTTTGGTGTTCCATAAAGAGCATCCTCACTTGCTTGTGTAATGCCATCCAAACAAATATGATATCCCAAAGAAGAGATTGTTTTAGATTATCAAAAATTTGTTGATAGTAAGATTATGGTTAGAATTTCTATTAGAAGTTCTCATCATATGAAAGGCCATGTCCATTTATGTGTTAATTTGTCATTTTTTATTTCTACAAGGCAAGACTAGATGTGCTGTCATTTTAATTCCTTTATGGAAGAAGAAGAAAAGAATAGTGATAATACTAATTTAATTTTATGTTGTATTGTTTCATTTTATTTCACAGAAGTAACTCTCATTATTTGTAGGAGAGCCAAGATTAAATCCCAGGTAGCCTGACTCCACTGTCCATCCTTACAGTAAATTGGTTGCTTTCAATAGTTTGCTTTTACTTAGAACCTATAGATTTTGAAAATCAGGCCTTTTTGTTTTGGATAAGTCAACATTGTACCATTTCTTCAGCAATTTTCTCCTTTGTTTTTTATGTTGTGAAAAGATAGCTATTTCCACAGTGTTCATAAGCATCTCTTCTTTATCTTCCGTTTAAAAATTTGAAATTTACACCGTAGAGTGAACTAACCTCTGTTATTCTGTTTGTGAATGTATCTATAAAAGAATATGCAGGAAATAGTTTATTTATTTATTGGAAGCAGTTTATTATTAATATCCCCATGACATACTGGCCCAGAATTCTACCATTTTAAGAGGTAGGATAGCATACTTCTCTCAGCATCTGAAATCACATGACTTGACTTCTAATTTTTGTTTTTTGACTTACTAGCTTTATAATAATGGGCAAATTACTTAACTTCTTTAAGCCCTGGTTTCTTCATTGATAAAATAAGGTTCATGGTAGTATCTATCTTATAAGATTGTTATAAGGATGAATTCATTAATGTTGCTTTGCATGTAACTGCTTACTAATGTTAGCAGTAATTATATTAATTGGTAGGACTAGTGATATGTTTATCTTGGCACCAGTGCCTCAAATAATACTTTATATTTGGTTGGCTATGTTTCTAAAATGATTATTTATTATAGCTATCCTACCAAAATCTGATAGCTCTCTTTTCTGTATTCTTTGTTTCATAGTCACTATTCTCTTACACTGTAAAATTTCAAACTTTAGCTAGTTTTGTTCTGTACTCACTCTCCTCCCTTGAAATCTGCTTTCAACTTTTCTCATAGTTGTCTATTATTGCATATTGGAGCTTTCTAGAACTATCATCAGTCAATGAAAACAGCTCTTTTGATTAGCAGGCTGTGAGTTGTCTTTAGCTCTTCTGAAGCTTCTTTCTCTGTCAGAAATCTGTAAACAGCAGAATTTCTATAAAACTCCATAAGCTTACATCTATAAACATACTTTAAATCCTGAAAGGTGGATACTTTTTAAATGCATATTTCATTATTCTTTTGAATGTATTCCATTTGCAATCCTTGAATTGTGTTCAAAATAATAATCTTTATCTCTTTTCTTTATTTAAAAAAGAGATCTAACATCTCTAAAGAAATGAGTTTAGAATGGAATAAGTTTGGGTTTTACTATAAACATATATATGTGTGTGTGTATATATATATGTGTGTGTGTGTGTATGTGTGTGTGTGTATATTAGGGCTTATATGTATAATACATTACACATGAATAAAAATAGAAGGTTAGACTTGTAGTTCTGAGGTTACAGACATGTATAAAGTAGAATATAGATTTTCAAAGGTGTTATATTAGCAGGGCCAAATAGAACTCAATGTGATACATAGAAGGAATGAGAAATTGTTTCTTATTCTTGCTGTCATAGTTGGAACTCTGCAGTGAAAGATCATTTTAGACACAAACGTACCTAAGGATAGCAAAGCTGTTCAGTCATCAGGCAATTGTACACTTTCACGCTCAGAAAGCAGAGGTAGCTTCTGGTAATATTTTCATTATTACTCTGGTGGTTTCTCATTTGGGTCAGTCATGGGATAGCTCATTATTCAGACTTTTGAATGTTATTGCAGAGGAGTTTTCATAAAAAGGTTGATCCATCATATTGCTACAATGCAATACTTTCAATCTCAGTATGACATTAAAGATGCAATCTTTTATATTGCCTGTGTCTAGAATACTGTTAGAAATGAAACATTAAGAAAAGCTTAGAGAATATTTTGATCTGTCGTTATGTTTCTGTAAGTGTCTATCTCTAGTTTCTAGGATAGGAGCTTTATCTTCTTAATCTTTTCATCCCTAACACCTAGCAAATTGATACATGCTAGATGGTGAGTAAAAGAATAAGGTAACTTAACATAATGATTTAAAAAGTAGTGATTATATATATACATATATATATACACACACATACACACACACATATCATATATACATGTACATATACATATACATAAAAGATTTGGAACAAGATTACAAAATACATCAGGATAAATTCTTGAAGTAAAGGATATTCCTTTATGTTTTGTTTCTAAATTTAATAGAAATAAATAGAATAGTGAGTTAAAGCTTAAGAGAATTTTGAAGCACTGAGGAGGCTAAAATGATAAAAAAATATTTTACTACTCAAAAGCCACAGAATTATTATGAAGATTATTAAGACACTTTTTTAGGAAACTAAATTCATTTCTTCTCCCACCCTACCAACCCCTTAATTTCCTGTCCACTCAGTGGCCCTGTCTTGGGCGTGTCCCATGACTACCCAACTACTTCATTAGTTCACCTAGAAGAACTCAAATGATTCCGTATAAAGTTGTATTCAGAGCTAAGATTTATTACGGCAAAGGATATGGTCCAGGAGTAGCAAGAAAAAGATACCCATCGGTAAAGAGGTCATGCATATACAGGCTCCTAGGTAATCCCCCTTTGTAAGAATGACACCAGATGTACTTCTCTCTCTACCTTTGAACTTCAGAGATACATGTGAGATGTCTCTACCAAGGAATTGGCTTGAGTCTTAAAGAGTTCACAGTTCTCAAAGAGCTGGTCACAGAGGCAGCACATACCCGCTTTGTGACCTTGTCTGACACCAGGTGCCCATCAGGAATCTTCATGTTTACTTCAGATATGCTTTCATCCGGGTCCACAGCTTCAGGTGGATAGAATGGCATTATTGCTCAATAACTATGTGAATGCCTTAATTCAACTTCATATATTTATTACCTGATTTAATGCATCTACATGTAACTGGCCTGGT